GAAAGAACGTTGTATAATTAACTTAGCAATCCGTTCAGACATATTCTATTGGAATATTAAAGTCTGCTAATTACTGAATACACGTTGGTGAGCTATTTATTTATATTTATTTCAATTCAAATTTTGTAATACACATGTCAGCCTCTAGGCTTACTCATGGCTTATCCCCAATAAATATCAGCTACATAGCAACCGAATGTTGATTTGACATAAATTAATTCTACGCTTAAATACTAATAACTTTACAGAATACAACACAATTAACTTGGACGAAACAAAACAGTAATAAATACTTTACAGTCGCATTGCACTTCTCTTAACTCTTACTTGTGCAGGAATATGATGAGTATATTTATTTTGAAGAAGCAACCAACAGGATAGAATGGTAAATGTTGCATGCTTTTTGTTGCAGCACTGATAGTGTTTATTTGTATAACGTACTTTGACTGTCTCTACTCGACTCTAAAACATATCTAAGGATGTTTATAACTAGATATATTCTGAAAGAGATAATAAATAAAATCATATAAAGAGAACATCTTCATACACCACAGGAACATTAAACATTCATTCACATATTATAAGGCATCTACGGTGTACTTAGTAAGAGCCTGAGTTAACATTGTTCTCTGCCATATATATGTCCTTCATCCATGGCAAATGTGTTGACTCAGTTTTATTTACGTATAGTTTACGGTGCAGGTCAATGGAACAACAATAAATGACCGATAAAAGTTACTAGCACGAAAGGTCACTACTGTTGTCCCCTATCCCACAGCTCCAGACACCATTTCATCTTTATCAAGCTTTTTCAAGATACTTTTCTTATAACTACGACAGACATTTCTCTCCATACACCTGGAACCAAAGTGTCAAGCCCAGCCAATACATAGTATTTCACATTATGTAGGAAAAGGTCGGCAGAAGATAGAGGAAGGTAGAAGAGGGAATTGGAATGCTATTTGAGTGTAAATTGTTCTTTACACCTAGGCATAAAGCCACTCAGTAAACTCTGTTTCAAAGAGCGTATGAAGCTAAATGACGAAGACCAGTGTTTTTCCTTATTCCTATGACCAAGTCGAAAACGAAAGGCACTTCAGTAAGTTTTTTTTCCACCTGGAATTCTTCGTATGATCTACTGATACTTGTTATTCTGTAATAAAAGAATGTTCTTAAAATAATCCAAACACTAATCATCAGTACAGTTAAGACTTTGGATATTAACCAACAGTCGTGTCTGCAATTGTATTCAAAACTATTACACTCAGACATTATCAAATCAACATCTTTCTATTGAAATACCTAATGTCTATATCATATCGACTTTTTTTTTTCATAAACGTGTTATTGCTCCAGAATTTCCATACTAACAGACACTTTATATATTTCGCTTCATTTATAAATAATACAAGAGTTGATTAGATGGAATTAAACACTAATTAACCGACATGTAGCATATTATACTTTTTGGTTGTATACTTTAAGATAACAAAGCTTTATCAATTTACACAGGCACAGGCAATTTAAGAGAATAGAATGGAGAAAAGAAACCCCTTCCAATCTGACTAGTACGTGTGATTTAAGCCCAGAATCTGATTCACAGGTCCATGACTACTGATTACACAGGCCTGCGACGCTTTTATTGTCATGATATTTTTGCATATTCTACAGTAATTCCTGTACGCTGAATCCAAAAATGATATCCATTTTTCCCATCACGTACAGATTTTTTGCGAAACGTCATAACGCAATGCATGAAAGAAAGATCACAACATGTAGTTTTGAGACCAAAAGACGTTGATTTAACACAAAGAATCAGGATGAATGAGGATGTATATTCGTTTGACATCAATTTTCTTCCATTTTCTTTGGTTTGTTTGTTAAAAAACATAATAATAAAAAATGTTCATTGTGGTAAACAGAATAATAATTTGATTTAAGTAAGAGTTTTTTTTTCTTCCCAATTTATAAAAAAATCT